GAAATCTCTCAATGCGTATTATACAGTGTTTGTCTCCATCTTCATACATTTCTCATGCACCCACTAAAGACATAAATACACCGAAGCTCAGTTAAGGAAGGGGAATAGCCCTAATGGAAGGAAGTATGATTGGGTGGCACATCATGGAAGTAGATCTTATACATATATACATAAAAATGATAAAGTACAATTTCTGAAACTGTCTATATGTGCACCAAATCCTTCCTGGTTGAGAACACCAAGTGGCTGCTTGATGCAATACCTTTTCCTCCCCGATCATGCTGTTGAGCATTTTTGCTTTTCATATTAAAGTGCAGTCCAAATGCAGGTGGCTAAAAGACAAGAATCAAAATAAAGAGAGTGACAGAGAAAAGAAATAGACGAGGTAAAACCCAGAGGGTGAGACTGGGGCAGAGGATTGGCACATACTTCAGAGAGGTCTGACTTGAGGAGGAGGAGCAGGATGGGATGGAGATGAAGAGTCTGTTAGGCTGAAGTTTAAAAAACAAAACAAAGTCCTTCCTATCCTTCTCCAGCGTCACTCCCTGGATTGGTAGAAGAGGATGTATCCCGACTCAGAGTTCTTCGAGATATCTGAGGTAAGACCGTAAAACTCCTCAATGGCCTGGGCATCAATTTTCTGCACAACAGAGGTAAGATGAGATTAAATGGCAATGCAAACAAACAGAGGAGTCAAGGAACAAATAGGCCAACACTAACAGTCACGCACCTCCACAATGTCATCATCAAACAGCAGCCAGAAGCCATGACTCTTCACTATAGTGATGTAATGACCTCGATTTGGGCCGCTGAGGAGACAAAAGACAAACATTGAAATCGTTAACTCTGCCCACGTGTACTTCCTTCTGTCGTTTGCACAAAATTAACCACAACTGGCCACACGTGCACTCACTGCCATTTAATAGTGATTTGGGACTTGGGAAATTCTGAGCAGCAACTTTATGTGGTTTGAGAGCTAATACCTTAAATCTGTGAAGATCTTGTAATAATATGAAGGAAGTGACTGCTCTTGGCCAGGTGCAACCACCACTTTTCAATTCATTTCTATTTATATAGTGCAAAATCACAACAACAGTCGCCTCAAGGCGCTCTATATTGTAAGGTAGACCCTACAATAATACATGCAGAGAAAAACCCAACAATTGTATGGCCCCCTATGAGCAAGCACTTTGGCGACAGTGGGAAGGAAAAACTCCCTTTTAACAGGAAGAAACCTCCAGCAGTACCAGGCTCAGGGAGGGGCGGGGCCATCTGCTGCCACTGGTTGGGGTGAGAGAAGGAAGACAGAATAAAAGGCATGCTAATCTTTTAGGACACATTCACGCCAAGTTTTAAAGTGTTACACTGTCCAGTTTGATCGGAGTAACAGGAACAAATTCAGTCTTTACAGACGCAACAAATTTTAAATGCACTCTACAAAGTGTGCACTTCTACAAAGAGGAAGGAGAGAGCTGGCGACGCAAAGATTATAAAAGATGGACATAGGCACTGTGATGTAAGGAAGTCAGATTTTATTGCCTCAGTGTTAACATTTTGGCCATCACTTAGTTTTCTGGAAAAAGAAGTGGTTCAGTTACCAGACAATCTGAACTTTGTGCGCCACAATCTGGTGGTGAAGCCCAGCAGAGAGTTCCCATTTACAGCTGCCTTTGTGGACAACCACCTGCCAGTTAAAGCAGCTACACCCACAATATTGCAAACAAGAAGACTTGACAGATTTTAAATTATTAAATTATGCAAGGTCCTTAACAGCTGCTGAAGAGGAAATTCGTTGCAGGGTGCAAAACTGTTTCTGTACAAGGCTGTAAACATGTTTACATCTGCTGTTCACTCCGATCAGCTGAGCAGCTGTTGCTCTTGGTCCCTAAACTAGCCGAGCTTTCTCTATTGTGGTCCTGAAGCTTTGGAATGATCCTCCTCTTCACATTAGGCAATCTACTTCAGTGGTGGTCTTTAAATCCAGGTTAAAAACTCGTTTTTATTTGCTGGCTTTGGACTCAGTGGATAACTGACACTGCTAATGCTTTGTTATTTTATTTATTATTCGTATTTTGCTTTTTTTAAAAAAATTTTATTTCTCGTGTACAGCACTTTGGTTGGCCATATGTTGTTTTTAAAGTGCTATATAAATAAAATTATGGTATGTTGTGAAACTGAGGAATGGGATTTGGAATGGGAGCCTATGGGACTGACTCAGTTTTAGTTTTTACTTCATATTTCACTTTTCAACTTGTGCCGGTTGAAAATTATGGCTGGGCCATATCATACCGTTCACGGTAATACCGATATAATGTTGGGCAACAATAAGAAAATGAAATATCGCGATAGAATATGGGTAAAACGCGCATGCGCAGTGCCTTCATACGCATATGGCAGAAAAAGCATGGTGGAGAATGAGAAGGGTGAAAGCGGGTCGTTGAATGAAACGGATGAACTGTAAAAATGCTGCAACTTTAGTGGTGTGGAACTGGTTTAGCTTTCGTCTGTCAGATACACAACAAAGCACAATTTTTGGTAGAGCATGCTAGCGGGCCGTCGTTATTACCGCGTTTTTTGGAAAATACCACACACCTTAAATCAATCCTTTGATTTTTCTGAAAATCGACAGTGCCCCTTATAATCCTGTGTGCCTTATGTTTGAATTCTGGTTGTGTTTACTGACCTCGAAAAGATTTTATGTACACGGCGCTCGAAAATCTGTCAAATGTTTTAGTGCGACTTTGCTAAGCTACGAACCCGCACAGCTTGATGGATTGTCGGAGCATTACGGCTATCGTAGGCAGGAGCCTCACGGAGTGATACGTACTGTGATACGTACCAGCTCTGTAGCAGGTTACGCTGGCAATAAGAGATCAACAGGCATGAAATCACCTCCTACTGACCAATTGATTCAACAGGAAATAACATCATGATTCCTGGAAGATCCCTCAAACCTCTGATAGGATATCAGCAGGGTCTAAAGTTTTTCAGCAGTTTCTAAAGTCTCTGTCTTTCTCTGATGACGCAGATTGGGAAAGCCTAGGTTGACTTACGAAGCTCTTTGAGTAACTGCTTAGCCTGATTGCTAACGTTGGGGCAGGTGAAAGCCAGATAAGGAAAAATATCCTGGCAATGTTGAATTTGTTTCATAGTGCGGGGTTCTCGTTCCACTGCCTTTATGGGTCAGCTGAAAAAATGTAAAGTCTGATCAGTGAGTTGGTAGAGGCTTAAAAAAATGAACCGTGTTATTTTTTTAAATTCCAAAACATGACACAATAACAGCCTTACATATCTACTTTTACCAGGTGTGACAAGATCCATCACACGTACTTTTGCTATATGTATAATAATCAGTATACTATACCTTCCACAGTGCACCACCACAGCTACTAGATCATACATGCGATCCAGGTTGACTGCATCCCCAGACGTGTTAAAGAGACGGAGTTCTAATGGGAAAACCACCCGATAGGACAGCTTGGTGTAGCGGTGCAGCTGCTCCATGTACTTAAACCTCTTGAGGTGTAGCGCCAGGATCATAGGAAGTTTCTTCACACGCATCCTGCAGTGAAGAATACATGCTTAGGAAGGAGCCTTTCTGCAGGAACATAACACTGGTGGTCAAACGGAGTGCTTTACTGACCGTTTCTGTGCTTCTTGCTTGCTGCAGCATGTCTCACAGTAGTATTTGTATTCACTGCACAAAGTCTCTGTGTTACTAAAGTCCCTGGAGGAACAAGCAGACCACAGGAGGCTCAATTACTGAGTCTCACTCACACCAAAGGGAATATGTCAGCTCCGTCTGAATGTATAATAAATCAATACTACCTGAGACAGTGTGTTATTGATGTGTTCTGCTCTACATCCACAGAAAGATCCAGAAAATCCTCATCTTTGCTGCTCACCTGTCAGACAGCGAGAGACACTGATGTAACTCATCTGTTGTTACACTGACAGAGTCAGTGAGACTAAGCCTGCTGTTCTGTGACAGAACAGCCACCCACTCACACCTACACACACTCAGCCAGTCTTTGAAATGCTTATTTGACTGAATGGCTTTTGTCTCTGCACTCTGCATCGCCTTGGTGTTTTGCAGGGGTTGTTCTGGGGAACCTGTTTCACTCCTTGCCCTCAAAAAAGGTGAGGACAAAACCTCAGACGGCCCTGACGTAAACCGGGTGGTCAGAGCTCCTCAGAAGCTCTCACTGATTCTCTTTTTTTTTCTTCCCATGTCTCTCAGCACCTTTGCAAAGAGCTAATCCCCTTTTCAGACTTATTCAGGTGAGATCTCTTGTTCGTGCACCAGCAAATCCATTACCAGATAGCACAAACTACCTCTCTAATAAACTCACGGTGTAGAAAATCCAGGAGCATACATACTGTTTCACAGTTGAGGCAGCGCGTCTCATTGGTCAGTGTGCCTTGAAAGATATCGTGAACCCACGTGGGCTCCGTCTTGTTCTCCGTCTCAGCCTCGGTGGTGACGGCGGTGCCATTGTTCTTGAGGCGCCCGTTCTGCTTTTCCTGCTTTTTCTCCTCTTGCAGAATATCAGCCACGGTGTTCAGCAGGTAGTTGAGGAATTCGTGTGCATCTTGTTGCATGTAGTTGTCAAACAGATCTGGAAGGAGACAGAGATAAATGCATACAACTTCCTGCAGAAATAAATAGAAATACATAATATTTCTACCACAATGGGCCTACAGGAGGCTGTTATTTAAACCTATGCATCAATTTAAACATCTGAAAGCTTAATAGATCAGTGCTACAGATAAAGGACTGGACCACAGCTATTCAATGAGCCCCCCAAAAAAGGACCAATAAGGTTGTAACTGTTACCATAAAGCAGGCGCTTGGGAGAAGCAGCTAGCCTAGATGTGTATATATTAGCAAAATTTGCCCTAAGCCATCTCTAAAGCTAGCTTTTTTAGCAAATTAAACCTTATTTTAAAAAATACGTTTCTGGAGCTCGTTGCTCCTAACTCCTCAAAATATACTTTTTTTCTATAGAATACAGTAAAAACTAAATAAAAAGTTTTCAACAATAACAAGTGCACCAGTATAGATAAAGAAGTGGTAGACCAGTATCGACTGGTTCTTTCTATGTTACATCAGGGGAAGTAACAGCTGTTGTAGTTCTGAAAACTACAGGTGTGTTTAATAACAGTAATAACTGCTGGTTCATTGGCACAAGCAGAAAACAGCTGTCATTACAGTGATTTGTTACACCTGCATTACTCCCACTGCGATGCTGCACTTTGAAAATGTCTGCCTTGACATGTTGTAAGTAAAATCAGCAGGGTTTATTTATAATAAAAACATCCATACACATTCTTTGTTTTAACAGATCTGTATATAAGGGGGGAAAATGAGAAGGGAATGGTGGCGGCTGCCGAGGGGGAAGAAAAAAAAAAAAAAACGTCCAGAGATGAGCCAGCTGACCAAAGCTGGGTCTCAACAGAGATTGCATTGTTCATGCACATAAAGAGCTTCCTCAATATGGACAGCAGTGAACAGTCAGCCTTTCTGTCAGCTCTACTCTGAATGACCTTACCACCAACACGCACCTGCCTTTCACTTCAAATATTCAGACTGTAATGTAGCTCAAAAAGCACACTAAACTAAACCACAGCACTCAGCTCTCCATTTATGGACACGTGTATGTGAAAGGATCCACATGACGGACACTTAAGTCATTCTTCAACACACTGTTTTAATGTTTTGAGCATATAAATTTTGACAAGAAAAATTACTCTTCTGAGAAATTATTAATGCGAGACTCTTCTTCCAGTAATCCAGCACATAACACCAGAACACTAAAACTGGGACACCTCAATGGGATTAACCCCTTTTTATATTTGTTTTTTTAAACAGCACCAGTGGCAGGCCCATTTTACAAGCACTCTATAAATGACAGTAACTCAGTTACCATTTGTGCTAGAGACACAATTCAAACGGTTTCGGGAAGAAGAAAAGGTGACCTTTAAGGGGATATTTGGTGTTTCATGGCAGCACAAAGCATTCACAAGGCACTGCTGTCTGAACACAGGAAGAAAAATCAGCTCGGCACAGAGATTGCCATGTGCTTTTCATATTACTGTAACTCCTCAACTATTTCGAGCTAAAGAGAAAATTTGAACGGTTCCTGAAAGATCAGAAGTACTTTGTAACTTTTACAACCAAAATTGCAAAATAAGTCTAAGCAGCCTGTATGACACAAGGTTCATAAACGATTAACTGAGATGAGATCCAAGTGCCCTTAAACCCTGTATTATCAGAATATGGGGGTACTTGTTGCTTTGGGGAAGTGACAAATTAATTAGCAAATATTTATAAGGTGCTTCTCTGCAAATTAGCCAAGTACTTTGTGAACAATAACTAAAAAATATGCTGAGCTGCCTCTCCAGTGAGGTTTTCATCCCAGGAACAAACTCCAACTGGGCTGACGGTAGTCCTTGTTCAGACAGGAAGGGTTGGCGGACTTTGAAAAGTAGATCTTGAGGACTGTCCACTACTTAATCAAGAGTACATCTGGACATACATATAGAAGAATAAAGTGTTTATGCAATTCTTGGCAATTGGGAAAAAAAGAAAAACAAACACACAAAAAACCAAACATATAATGTTTATATTTTTTACCACAAGGTCCATTATCCAAAATATAAGGTTCGTGTAACTTCCTGCCACTGTAGATGGAGTAGACCTCACAGTTCTTATTCTTTTTCTGTGTTCATACAATTCCAGCACATGATATAACAAAGGCCGACTGTGAAACTTTCATTATGATGTATGCTCACCGTTCTCCTTCCGTAGGCGGGAGATGAATTTCTTGGGCGGTATGACGCCAACTTTTTTCTTCTGCGTGGCAATGGAGTGGAAGAGGTCAGCCAGGCACGTGAGCAGGTTCTCCTTCTTCTTCTGCTGGGCTTTGTACGCCAGCACATTCTCCCGGAAAGGCCGGCAGAAGTACAGAGCCTGGAGCACTGAGTTACAGTAACACGTGTTTCCAAACTGAGGGAGAAAACCACAGGGAGACATCGACACAAAACCGTGATGAGGAAGCGATTTAAAACAAGGACTCGAATATTTCTTTTAGATTATCTGTTAATAGCTCGTGGAAAAACGCCAGTGTGTTCTATTGTTGTTATCCATTTGGCAGACACAGTGTCTAGAGCGTTGAGAAACTTGTGTGTTTACATAAATGTCTCATTAAGGAAACAGAACATCCCCGTTTGGCCAAGAGTCTCACAAACAACATTGTTACCTCGAATACCCGCTGACCAGCCGAGGACATGACTCACTGCGGTCCCGTGGCATTTTGTTTTGAAAAATGACACCACTGTTGTTTGGCAATGGCTTTTGTTAATGCAAGCGAGGATTTAGTGATACTCACATTGACCAATCCGAAGTAGTGTTCGTTGATTGGGAATTGCTCCGGGCCGATGTCTTTCTCCAGAGCAGAGGCATTGGTGCCCTGAGAGGACAAAACACGAGACGCTCTGTCATCGTAATCATCTCATATTCCATTTGAATCATTTCAGTAGATTTCAGTGACAGACTTATTTGCTTAGTCCGGTGTGTGAATATACAGGCAAATGAATATGGAAATGATGCATAGTCAAGGGCCAGGAGCAGCTATACATCTGCAGCTATGAGGCAAAACAAAACTGACTTTTTCTGTAATTAATAAAATTATTATTTCTAGAATATGTAAAGATCTAAATTTTCTGCAGAAAGCACACACTTCTGCACATCTTGCTTCCTTTCGTCAGAACAACAAGTCATGTCAATGTAGAAAACGGATATAGTCTAAACAGGTAGACCCGTATCAAAAGTCGGGACTCTTGCTGCACCCAATTGCTGAGACAGAGCACTTATCTCTTGTCAGAGCTCAAAGCTTTTTCAAATGAATCACAGCTTTGTTGAGTGAACACAGCAGACAATTTAGGTTGGGGAAGGCTTTGACTTCTAATGACTGTCATTTCTCATCTGTCAAAGCAAACAATGGATACCCGTCTGTCCGGCTTACCACTTCCAGTCTCCAATGTTTTGGGAGACATGCAGGTCCCAGGAGAGACGAATTACCAAGGAGAATCCACACATGAAATATCCATCCAACCTTTACTGACATCTGAAACCACACTTTGAAATTTGAGCTCCTCCTGATAACAGGAAGCGGGCAGTGGTATTGTTAATTTAGAAAGGAATAAATTCTTAAAGGAGACATATTATGCTCCTTTCTACATATTTTTTTGATTAAGGCAGAAGCTTGAAATAACAATTATTCATCTAACACTGAAGGTGCACTGTTGCTTCACAGCAAGAAGGTTCCTAATTTGAACCTGTTGCCCTGCATGTGTGCAGTCTACATGTTCTCCTTACTCCTGCACGAGGTTTCTCCAGGTACTTCGGCTTCCTTCCACAGTCCAAAAACGTGCAATTTAGGTTAGTCGGTGTTAAGAAAAATCCATGGATACTAATAATAATAATAATAATAATAATAATAATGATAATATAATGACTGGTGCAATACACTGCAGCATTTTATCTGCCCATATCCATCAGTGCGTCCTTAACTTGTAACATCTCGATTAGATTACTTAGTTAAGATTATTTAATAAATAGGGTTAGGGACCTACTGACTGGGGGATGCGCCGATCTGATATTTCGATCAGGATAAAAAAAATTTTTTTTTTTTAAATTCACATGATGATGGCTTCCCTGTGAACTGCTTGTTCCTGCTTTATGTTTGGTGAAACATTTGTTGGGAGGCTTTCACTAGTGTAGTTATATATTAGGGATGCAACAATACTCATATCGGTATTGAACCGTTCGGTACGCATATGTATCGAACAATACAAAAAATATTATTTATTTTATCAACTTTTCTTCTGACGATGCTGTCTGTGTTGAGCGCTCAGTGAATCTGTGTTCGACTACTCCGCCTAGGCTGCACTGTTGAGTGCAGATCCACTGAGCGCAGCGTAAGCTAGCAAG